ACAAGAGCACACATTCACACACACACTTAGTACACATACGCACACACACACACGCACGCACGCACACTTAGTACACATACGCACGAACCACGAACACTTTTTAGACTCTTGCATGCGTCGAACCATCGCCGAGTGATAGATTGAAGCGAAATAAATTATGTTTGTAAATAGGCCACATTGCGTTGATAATTGAAGAGATCCTGATTGTTCGAGTTAATCACTATCTACCATTTACGTAACAGGAACCATTGTTCAATAGCATTTATTTATTTATTTATTAAAAAGAAAATATTTGATTAGTAAAACTTTTGCTTGATATCGCACTTGCGACCCTTGACATTGGGAAATATTTGACGCAGTATTGCAACATGGAAAAAGGAGTTAATTCTCGAGATACAATAAGAAATAATCAATCCTAGATAAAATTTAAGAGTTTACGGTGAAAAAATGTAATCCTAATTGAAAACAAAGAGGATAATAACCCATGTATACGACCCAGATCTAAAGTTTTACTGACCTTGAAAAATAAACTGTTGTTCTTCAGGGCCGTAGCCTGAGCAAAATGCCAGGGGGGGCAGTAAGCGGACACGAGGGGGCGAAGCCCCCGAGGGGGGAGGGGGTGTCCCCCTACCAGTGTGGAAACTTCTAAATCCCAGGGGGGGCAGCTGCCCCCCCTGCCCCCCCGGAGGCTACGGCCCTGTTCTTGCTTGGTTAAATTGTATCACCTTAAAATAGACCCTAATTGGAAAAGAAACCAGGACGTACTTAAATCTCGGCAGCATTAACGCAAATAATGAGAACCATACCGATATTACAAATGGCCCGAAAATTCTACCACCAAAATGATTGAAATTCCTTTTACGATATTGAAAGCTTTTTATTGTCCAGAATTTGTGGAGATTACTCCAAACCGACTAATGGAGAATAACACATTTAGTCTTACTCATTGTGATTGTTTAATAGCATATTCACAAAAATTGTAGGCCTATTCATATTGCCATTTTCATCCACACAAGTGGATGCATATGTTACAGTAAACTAAACTAAACTAAACTAAACCTTAATTTTTCAATAATTTTCAACAGTTTTGGTGATATCCTAATTAACTGCTGTGAAATTTGATGAAAGTTTGAAATTATATTTAGTGAATCGGTCGTTTTAGAGGCGTTTTTCTTGGTTTTCGTCAAAAAGTCAATATTATACCCAGTCATTCGTGAGTGTCAGGATTTTCGACTAGTGATTGATGATTGTTTCTTTGAAATAAATATTTGGTTCAAGTTTGGCGTGTTTTTAGCCACTTCTTCCGATAATCCACTCTCTGTGGTTCTCTTCTCTTTCTTCTCTCTCCTCTCTCTCCTCCCACGGCCATCCTCGCCTCACGCGGCGCTTGACTGTATCATCTGCCACGAAACTTTTGGCGCGATTCTGGGCGATAAACGCATTTACCGCTCGGCGCTCTGTAAAGAAAATAAGCATATTTTTTGACAAATAACACAACTAGTTTTTTTTAATTGAAATTGCAATATATTGCATTTGTGACTTCGGTTTCAATTTTACATTCAATTTTATAAGGTGAGAACACCTAGAATTATGTCGTTACAATACAATGTCTTTAGCGTTCAGTCTAAGATGAATTACTTATATGCGCTTTGGGTGAGACAAAATTGATGAGTTTAGTAAAAAAAACTTAATGTCACAGTTCAGTTCAGTTGTTTTTTATGTTAAAAATCGCCTGCAGTGTAAACTTGAAATATGTTCGATTCCCTGTTCCACCGTAAACATGCCATGCTAGTACACACATCAAAAGTTGAAAATAAAATAAAAACAGAAAGAAGATTTGAAATTCGTCTACCGACCCTGTTTACAAAGGTCTTCGCCATTTTTCTTTTGGCCTAACAGTCATCCTTTGACTGGGTGGATTACGTTTAAATCAGCAAACGTATTATGGACTATGTGTGTGAGTATTAGAAGGATTCAAATGTTGAATCAATACGGCACAAATATGAAGAAAAAAAGGAATATGTTACCTTTCGACTCGTCTACTTGCACTTTATCCTGCAATTCATTCTCAGATGCAAGAACGCTGCCTAAAAAAGTAACAGTCAACTGTAAATGATATGTGAAATATAAATCCAACCCAACTGCGGTGTTCCTGAATTGCGCAATATATGACTGGGTTCCCATACCTAGATCGATCTAACAGGATATCGATCCATCTCCAAGGTGTTACACACTAAATTGCTTTCATGCAGTTTAAAGGACTTTGATGTCTGGCACTCCTACTGAAGCTGCTAAACGATAGTTAATTGTATTACCCCCTAACAGCTTTAGCAGGCTTGGCAGACATCTAAGCAGCTTAAGTTGATTGCAATTTAGCGAGAGTCCCCTTGGAGATAGATCGATTCACAGTTAGTATGATATTAGGGTCTGGAAATAGTCCCTACAGGGCAACACAGCGCACTGCACTTGGAAACACGAATGTAGTTAAGTTGTTTTTACTCTATAAGTTCAGTATCTGTCGTCTGTCTCAGCTATTTTGGATCTATATCTTGCTTGTTGTTTTTGCGTTTTGAGATGAATCTAAGACCCCAATTTCCAGAGATTAGATCGATCTACTTTAGATCGACCTAACTCCCTGGGGGTTCACGCTAAATAGCTGTCAGCTGAGCGGACACGTAAGTTAATTACCCCAAAACAGCTTGTAGTAGGCGGGACGGGCATTTAAGCCGGATTATCTGACAGTAATCTAGTGAGACTCCCCGCGGGGATAGATCGATCTAAAAGCTCTGGGAATACAGCCTAAGTTTTACTGAATGGTATTATACGGCCAGCTGTTCAGCAAAAATGATCTGAAAATCAGTTAATTCTTCTGCTGATAATTGCGATTCCGAAGCATATCTAATCAGATAAATGTATCTTAATCTTATTTGGATTTCCGTAAATTCCAGAGGAGCGTTTGTACTTACAACATAAAATCAATATCACCAGACATATAATCCTGGTACAGTGTTTCCCCTCCATCGCTCACATAAACTTATGCAGCACTATGTCAGAGAACAGCGTTGCCAGATATTTAAAGGCCCGTTACCTTAAGATCCGGAATACATAGCCTAACAAATTCCAAACAACCAGCAAACAGCTGCATATGACCTAACTGGAATATCAAGTGAAAAACACGCCGTGCGATTTTTTTTTCATCATAGGAAATAGAGTTTTTGGCTTGCTTGGCTAATTCTGTTAATTTTACGATGGTTTTATTTGAAGTTCATCACTCGTTACAAAAAAAAAAAAAAAAAAAATCTGAGACTTATAATGGGGGCAATATAGGCCTTCATTTCATCTTAAAAACTCACATACACACACACACACACACACACACACACAAAAAAAAAAAAAAAAGAAAAAAAGAAATCCGGATAATTGAGTGCTTTATTAAACTGATCAGGCCACAATGTGACTGCAGGAATAAAATTAGGGCAGTTTAATTCAGTCATTTGACCAATCATAATTATATCTTTTTTATCCAATTCATTTCAATTTCATTTTTTATCATAGACCTTCACAATTATAAAGGTCTAGTCATGCCCTACAAGGGCTGTTTTCGGCTGTGATTTTGTGGCGTTTCCGGGGCACAGCATTCGATCACAGCTGGGTCACGAGGCTAAAGTCGTCAGCTGATGACGCAAGCTGTTCTAGTCCAGTTATCAGCTATGCAAGCTGTGTAATATGACCCATTTCATGCAGACTTACTGGCTATATTATAAAACGCAGCTGACCGTCGCATCAGTACGTACAGGCCTGGCATGACTTACATTATTAAACAGCACCGATTTAATATGCACCAGGTCAGTTTATCAGGGTTAGCCAGTGGTTTTATTTGGCCTACATATATAGTTGACATAGATCCACCTTGCCTAGTTCTTGGCACATGCGCAGATGGAGGGTTGATGGTACAGAAAATAATAAGCCGAGGATATGTCTAACGCTGTGGCAAACAGTGTGCTATAGTCTAGTATAGAGAAAGACAGCCATGATTGGAAGAATAACAGAGCGCCTGTATTCCATCCGGTAGGTTACGTTAAAGGGTTCTCAGAGAGAGAGAGAGAGAGAGAGAGAGAGAGATGTGCGAGGAACGACAATGCATGAACATGGCAGATACTGAAAATAGAAGGCGGTCAAATATTATTAGATCATCGTGTCCTTTAGGTTTGCTAGTCTAGAGATAGTTCATCACTTCCTCTGCCTTAGGCATTTGTCTTATTGGAGCTTCATCATCTCTGCTTGTAGTATAGTTTAATATGACAATATGATCTCATATGAAGGCAATTAGGAATGCGCAGTGGATTCAACGTGTGAACCGCTATCTGTTGTAGGTCAGATTATCATATTATAATTATGTATCTCAGCATATAAAATTAAAACTCTGAGGACGTATTATCATCACCGTGTATACATACACATGCCTATGTACTGAGTAGGCTACATATATCACGTGAAGGCGGTAGCACCATACTATGACATACTATGGGAATATGCAAGAAAAACGCGTACAACGAGAGCTATATGCAGCCCATATTTTCTGTGACTGAATTACAGAGGCTCCCTTTTATATCTCACATAAATGTGTCTTATCAAGTGAAGGCGATGTACCACAATAGGGGTATTTAAATGAATGGGGTTGGGTGGGGGGTGGGGAGTGGATAGCAGCGAGAGGCACTGTATTAGCACGCGCTCGGTCGTAAAGTCGCTTGGTTTGTTAATGATGGTCGTAAAATCGCCGTATGATTAATAGACGGGTGCACAGACGTAGAAACCAAATAAAACGACCTTCGACTGCCGTACTAGTATATCACAACTGGTACGGGTCTGGTGGATAAGCATATGTGTGTGTGTGTGCGTGGGGGGAGGGGGGGAGGCCTACCCTCTACCAGATCTTATGATTGAAGATTGTCGGTGTGTGTGTGTGTGTGTGGGGAGGGGGGG